CATACCCCAAAAATACACAAATAGCAGATTTCGGCCCCAGCTTGTTCCTTTCAACATGAGGACGAAGAACAAAATAAGTACATCCAAAAACTCGTAAGGAAGAGTAGTCTGGTGGATGACCATATAACTTCTCAAAAGGAGATATTCCTGAATTCAATGAAGTAGGGATACGATTAATCACATACACAACAGTTAGGACTGCTTCTCCCCAAAAGGCACTAGGGACCTGCGCAGACAGGAGCAATGAGCGGGCAATCTCAACAATATGACGATGTTTTCGTTCTGCCACACCATTTTGCTGAGGTGTGTCAGTACACGAAGACTGGTGTGTGGTACCATCAGAAGCAAGTAACTGAGTGAAATCATTAGAGGTATATTCACCCCCTAAGTCACACCTGAAGCACTTAATCACAGCCAAATGTTGAGTTTTAACAAGAGCTCTAAAATTGCTGTAAATACCAAAGAAATCAGATCTGCATTTCATAAGATAAACTCATGTATATCGAGTATAATCATCTATAAAAGATACATAATAGGTTGACCCACCCTTTGTGGATACTGGTGCAGGACCCCACACATCAGAATGAATAATATCAAAAGGAGTAGTAGAACAAGACATACTTTTATTGAAGGGTAAAGCAGAAAATTTTGCTAGTTTGCAACCACTACAATCAGAAATATCACAAGAGTTTAAATGACCCAAAACACCACTAGATGCTAAGAAATTCAACCGTGATACATACACATGTCCCAAACGAGAATGCCAAAGATAAAACTCAGACGACAAAGGACTCAAACGAAAAGAAGATAAATCAATGCTGGAAGCAGCAACAGCAGATACTTTGAGGACCTCCAAGACATATAGTTCCCCCACCCTACGGCCGATCCCAATCACCTTCTGGGTGTGTTGATCCTGTATAACACAGACAGAATCAGAAAAGAACACCCAGTTACCAGACTTGCATAACTGACTGACTGAGGCAAGTTTCAAAGTAAGTTTGGGAATGTAATAAACATCAGGAAGAGTTATATGAGAAACGGAGACAAACCCAACACCCTCAACTAGCATAGATGTATCACTAGCAGACTTAACAGAAATAGATGACACTTGCGACAAAGAAGTAAATGATGACAAATAAGGAGTCATATGATGGGTTGCACCAGAATCTAAAATCCACAAAGATGAGGGAATACATGAAGTGTCAGATGAAGAAGGACCAGAATGAGACATAGATGCAGACATGGCAGTGGGATTAGAAGCCAAATACTGTCTAAAGCTCTCAAACACCTTGGGATCCAATGCAGATGGTGGCATATATCCAACAGATTCTGTGTCAACTGGTGGAACAGCAGCAACAGCAAACTGTGGAGGACGAGGGGTCCATGGAGGAGTACCAGAGGAACGCGACTGATACTTCTGTTGACCATACCTATTTTGTTGCCCTGACTGAGGTTGACCAGTTTTACCCTTATTGACTAACAATGGACACTGAGCTTTCCAATGATTATTCTGTTTGCAGAAAGCACACTCATCATAAGCGACTCTTGAAGTTTGTCGAGATTGACTGGAGGAGACAGCAAGCACAGCAGGAGCGGGAGTAGGAGTAGAGGTTGCTTTAAAACCTTTATCTGTATGGGACTTGATACGAGTCTCTTCTGCAATTAACTCATGGACAACTGAATCAACTGAAGGAAGAGGAGAGCGATGAAGAATTGTTCCACGAAGACCTTCAAAATCAGAACGCAAGGCCATCAAGAACTGAACCAAGCGTTGTTCTTCCCTCCTAGCAATGTAAGGCTCAAAATCTTTTAACTCTTTAGATTCAGTAAGAGCCAATTGATCCCAGAGATCAGACATAGCAGCATAGAAATCTTGAATGCTCTGGTCATTCTGTTGAAGGGCACGAATATCATATTCCAATTGGTATTGTTTAGCAAAATTGGACTGAGTATACAGTCTCTCCAAGTGATTCCAAACTTCCTTTGATGTATCATACTTAGCCAACTGCATACCAATGGACTGAAACCCTAATGGGCTAAAGACAAAAAGGGCCCATAAACAAGCGGGCTAATAATATAGACTAACAACCCGCTCCATTTCAAGGTCTATGATGCTTTATTTTTGGGAGAGTGGGATGATCAAAATATCGCATTTGGTGGTCATTCTTAATTGCTTCTATTTGGTTGCGGGCCTCAAATTAAATCTTCATAAGTCTTACTTGTATGGGACTGGTCTTCCTTTTCATCGCGTGGAGGAGATGGCTGGTATTATTGGGTGTGCACCCGCTTGTATCCCTTTCTCATATATTGGGTTATCGGTAGGTGCTAATATGAGCCGTGGTGTAAATGTGAATTTGGTGATTCAAAAGTTTCATAAAAGACTGGCAAGTTGGAAGGTGAATTTGCTTTCGGTAGGAGGGAGACTCACGTTAATAAAGTCTATTCTAAATAATATTGGTATCTACTATATGTTCGTGTTAAAATGCTAGAACATGTGAATTTTGCGCTTGGGTCTTTACGTTCTCGATATAGTGAGGCCAAAAGAAAGATTCCATGGGTGATGGCGTTTTTATAATGAGGGAGATGCGCTTTGGGTTAAGGTGATTCAAAACATCCATGGAATGCATGATGGTTGAGGGTCGTCTTCTCCAAAACCGAAAGGATGGGTGTGTGGTCGAATCTCGTGAGAGTCTTTGATAAGTTGGACGTTCTCGAAATAATTCCTCATTCTTCATTCATTAGACGTCTTGGAAATGGTAATAATATTCGTTTTTGGAATGATGTTTGGATTGGTAATGAAAAACTCTCTTCTAGTTTTCTTAGACTTTATGTTATGGAACATGTCAAAGATTGTCAGGTGACAGGTAGTTGGACTGATACGGGTTGGGTTTGGGGTTGGAATCTCCAATTCTGAGATGGAGGGGGCACAAATTCTCAGCTTGTGGACTTGTTTGAGGTAATTTCTCATGTTACGTGTGATGATAGGCCGGATAGTTGGGAGTGTGGTATTGATCCAGTGGAAGGCTTTACTGTTAATTATATTAGATGATTTATTGATCCCAAAGTTTTAGAGGAAGGGGTGCACGAGACGAGATGGTGTAAGCTTGTCCTTATTAAATTTAATATTCATCTTTGGAGAACCATCTTGGATAAATTACCTATTCGTAATAATTTGGTGATTAGGGGTATTGATCTAAATTCAGTGCTTTGCCCCTTATGTTTTGTTTAAACTGAAGAATATGGGCATGTTTTTGTTAAGTGTGATGTGGGAAAAGAATCTGGAGAAAAGTTCTTAAGTGGTTTGACATTCCTTTTCCTTTGTTTACAAATGTCGCGGAGATCATGGAGTAGATGGATGGTATTTCGGTTTCTTTGCTGAAAAGAAATAAGATTGAAGTTATTGTTATCACAACCACATGGGTTATTTGGTCGTATAGAATTATTGAAGTGTTCAAGACGTACAACATGAGGAAAAATCATATTTTCGAGAATATAGTTATTCATTTTTTAATTAGTTTACTAGTAGAAATAACAAAAATAGTATTACTTAGTCCCATTGATTGCAAACCACTATTCTTTATGACTCTTTGTAATTGGTTTTTCTTTCTTACCTCCTTGCTAGTTCTTTTTAATAATACGTGGCTGCTAAAAAAAGTATTTCAATAAAAGAGAGAAAGTTTAAAAAAGAGAATAAATAAACAACCATATTGAGATTTTAGACGGGTGTTTTTTATGAGCTCTCCGTTATTATACTTCTCCGGTTCTCTCTAAACCATATATATATATATATATATATATATATATATATATATATATATATATATATATGGAAACAACAAATAGTATATTAACGGCCAACACCTAGCTAGAAGCTAGATGAAGTCAACAACAAAGTTTTACAAAGAAAATAGAGAGAGTATAATTGAAACAATTACAAGGAAGCAAATGGGGATGTGCTCCAATAGCACCACCTAAAACACCCTACTCATCCAGTGTTTTAACCGTAGATACATCATTGATTTTATGTTGTAGCAATTTTGATAGATGATGTTTTCACCTGCTTAAATATTCGATCATTACGCCATTTCATAAGGACCATATCATGTCCAAGAACATTAAAAAAAGACCATATAATGTCATAATAGATAATTATAACTATTCGGTTCTCCTTAGGACAGCGACCCCATGTAGCTGCAAACTCAAGCAGTTCAACCATAGTATTTACAGGCCCAAGATTGATACCACATCACCACATGATCCATTCTCTCACGATTTTTGCAAAATCGCACCAAAGAAATATTAAAATTGTTTTCATTTTTATAAGAAAGTTAGAGAAAGATATAAGAAGCGAAAAAAGTGTCATATTTAAAATGGACATAGTTATTGTTCCGTTGAAAATTATGAAGCTTGTTGTTTACGGGGACCATACGTCATAGCTAAAATTATCGATTTTGCACAAAAATTTGATATTTTTTCTCAATTATGCTGTATTTTTCTTATTTTGTTTTGTATTTTACAATTAGTAAATCATGCGAGCATCAAGAATTACGGCAAGCCTTTTAATTTTGATGTTACTGTCACTTTTGATTTAGTAATTTGAGAACATCTTTCTATAGAATGGAGTTATGGTGTGTATTTGAGGACATCTTGTAGTTACAAAAATCTTCTTTTTCTTTGCAATCTTAAACTATTTTGATTTTGTTTACTTCTATTATGCATCAAGAGAGATTCTAAACCAAACACAACATTTAACTTTACCATATCAATATGTTTGTTAATTTGATTTTGGTAACTTCACTAATGTTCTGTGCATTTATTTATTTCATATAATTTGAGCATGACCCTTTGCAATGTGATATGTAGCATGTGAAAACTACTCAATTTGATTTTGGTAAACGACGCTCGGTGTATGATCACATTTATTAATTTGTTTCATCTAGGCTCGAACCCAAATCCTTAGAACCCGTTTACTTCTAACATTACATAATAATACCTACAGTATTCTTATATTTTATTTGAGTTTAGATGTCAAAGGAATTATTTCCAAAGCATTTAACGACATAAATATCAAAAACTGTATATAATAATAAATAAATAAATATTCATCTATAAAATATAAATAAAAAACTAAGAGTTATGGTCAACTATAATAAGAATCAACTTGCTTCCGAAGGAGTCGCTTGGGTTACTTGTTTTTCTGGTCCGATGATTGGTCCCAACTTATGCTCCGCTTCTTGAACCTGAATTTTTTTAATTTTAATAAACTTATTAATATTAATATATAAATATTAATAATATCGTTTTATATAAGCTATAATAATTTGTATTAGCTATAATTCTTTATTACTAACAATAAAAAATGAATAAATATGCGTTAGCATGCGGGATACCTCATCGATGAAGTCAACGGCTTTTTGAGCTTTTCCGGCAACTGTTTCCGCCACTTGTTCAATTTTCTCCATGGTGGTCTTGAGCTTACTACCGTCTGGAAGATCACCGGAGATATTCTCCACCACCATGTCCACCGCCTCCGCCGCCACTTCTATCACATCTATAATTTCCTCTGCCGTCTCCATCACCACATCAACTTCTTCTGTAAATTCAAATGCATCAATTACTGACATTTTCACCATTCAATGCCAAAAATTAAATGATAACACAACCAACAATGCATATATGGAATGACGAAACCAGATAGGAGCCATTCTTTTTCCTTAATATAGATCTATAGAACTTTTAGTACAAAATGTTAAATTACATAAATTTGCGATTTCTAGATTTTGCTTCAGTTATGAAGATTTTCTGACGCCAATACTGCATATGTGTAATAAGACGTGTATAATGGATGCACCTTGGTATTATTCAGGCCACATTTATCAAATAGACCTAAGAAAGGGATCATAAATCATAATATCATGATACATATGTATACCTTTAAATTGTAGCAAGGGTATGACTACTGCCACCACTATTCCAGCAGTCCATTTTCCCCTAAAGAAACGAAGAACATCCAAAACATAAAAACGTTAAATGGTCAAAACTACTACGAAGAATTGATCTACAAAATCATCTTTTTTGTTTTGTTTTTTGAATCTTGATAGTTATCAAACACATGCGTACCAATTAGAACTTGGAGGTGGAGATGGTGGAGGAGGAAGTTCTTGATTGCCACTGATATTGCAAAATGCTCTTCGTGATTGTGATCCATCCATACGAAAACAAGTCATGTCTTTGAGGATTTGTGTGTTTTGAGAAGACCTTGATATTTGTGTAGTGTAAAGGTTTTTAACTATTAAACCACCATACGAAATACACTTTGATCTAGCCATTACAACTCTCAAAGTAAGGTTTATTATGAAGGTACAGAGATTGTGTGTTTGATGGTAAGGTTTCTTTTGTAGATCACAACGTTTGAAGTTTGGCAAATATGTTGTTTTTTTCTATGGTCAAATGTTGAAGGTTTCTTATTCTATTGGGTTAACCCACATGTTTATCTAAGTTTGTTTTATCTTAATTAAAGTATCATATTCTTAGGTCTCCTCAACATGTAAGGTCTTTGTCCTCTTATATAATTTTATAATCGCTAGTTATTAATGTTTGAAACTTGTTCAATATAAGTGAATACACTTTTTCCAAAGTGTAACGAAATTGCAATAATAAATAGCAAATGATATTTACAAAGAAAAGGGTAGAAACCATAATGTATAAACGAAGATAATTGAGCCTCGTGTTTGACGACTTAAAACAAATTCGTTTTTATGAGTCTGTTTCCTAAATACAACAACCAAAGGAGTTTGTACTACCAGACTTGACCAACCTTACCTGTATACATAAAATTTTCCAGCTAAGAGATAGTTTTTTTTTTAGCTAAAAGCTCGATTTTCAATTAATTTATCGAACACAATCATGATATTACTTAAGAAATCCATATGCTATCAATGCAATTACTTAACGAAATCAAAATAGTATCCTCCAATAGTGAATGATTAACAAAATTTGCTTATTATAACTCAACGTTGTAAAGATTGACAAGATAATCCCTATTAATGGTAATAATTATATGTACATAGTTGTGTTAGTATTTGGGACATACACGCTAATTTCAAGTTATCAAAGAAAAGTCTTTAACTTATCAAATTTTAGGCATCTTTTTTATTGAATTCCTAAAGTGCTGGCGAAGACTTTTTTGTTTTTCTTTCTATCTACGTATTTAGTCACGAAAAGGTTGAGTGCTCAAATTTTTTTGAGTCTCCAAACTTCAATTTTTTTTTTTTTATAAATAAAGTTAATCCTTGCGTTAAAGTATATGTTTCTCATTTTAATGGAAGTCAAATAAAGTCAATTTTTTCCCAAAAGTCTTAATAATCAATTTATACATTAAACTGTGTGTTTTAAAATTTTTAGTGGAACTCATATAAAGACTTTTTGTCGATTGTTGTTCTATCGGAAAGAACAATTTCATAGCCGAATGGGGCATGAGATCTAAAACAATAAATATCGTGGTGCATGTTTTCTTCATCCTTTAACTCTACACTTTTATGCATTTACAATTATGGATGGATATACATAGTTTGTGAAATGTGCCAAACAACCTATTCACATCCCACTAGGACGTTGTGTGCATAATTGAAAGTTCCAAATCTTTTTGTTTCAACCACATAAATATAGTTTGTGTATGATTTTCTCAATCAGTTCTTTAATAAATCTCAACTCTCAAGCTTTCTAATTCTGTCATATTTTGATAAAAGAAACAACTACATAATTATAGCAACGATTTCGATTTGATTTACTAGATAAACCTTTTCTATTTCTTTGTAAAGGATAGGAAGTTGCTAAGAAGTTCTGATACACAGCATTTTTCTATTATCTTGAATATAATTTCCAATTGGAAATTTTAAAGGAAGTAGCAAAGAAGATTCATGAAAGACAATATTCAAGAAATCAAAAAAAAATGTGAGTACGCAAGCAAGTTGCTTATAGCGTTTCCAATCGATAGATTTACAATTTTATTTTTACTATTTGAAAAAGTCTTTAAATAGTACTTAAACATTGAAGATGAGACTTTTTTTTTTAAATGTTACTCCACCGACTTAGGGTTGTTTGGTAAAAACTAATTGATTTTATTGTTGAATGATTTAGAGGCAATGTATGAATTTGGGTTGGAATAAAAACATGATTTTTGATAAGGTTGTTCAATGATAAAACTTATCATTTTAACATTATGAATGATTTTATGTTGAATGAATATAACATGTTCGATAAAACATATGAATAAACTTGTTGAGTAAATAAAGATTAGAAGACATCATATAAACTATCAAATTAAATATATTACTTAAAAATCTATATAAACAGATTAAAATCCAAATTAAACATAAAACTTTGCATATAGTTTTTAATTTGAAGCATTTGAAAATAATTGGATCGCACTAATTAGCCATATATTAATTCATTGGCTTCAAACCACATTCTATTTTGTGTATGTTTTGTTCCTTGCTATCCCGCTTGTTCCTTAAATTCGGCCAAGCTACAAACTTGGTTTTAAGATAGTTAACTGTTTTTCATTTGCCTTAGATCCACTATAAGATCATGTTCTCTTTTTAGCCTTTCGCCTACATTCTTTAATGAGTTGGCTTTTAAGCTGCTACATTCCAATCCGTTTATCATAAGTCCGTGTAAACTAGAATCAACAAACGTTTTTCTCAATATTTTCTTGTTTCGAGCTGATTCTAGGCTTGTTTATGGCATACCCAAAAAAATAGTTAGTTCAATAAATAACCATCCACATCCAAAATCACATAACAAAAGTTCAAAATTTGGACAACAATTCACAAGTGATAGAAATTACATAGCAACATAGCAAATCCAAATCCAAATCCAAATTCAAATCCAAATAACAATTTGGACAACAATTCACAAGCTTAAAAACTACATTTTGTTGCGTTATAAAAGTTTTAGGAAAGCATTAATGGGACTCTGCTAATACTTATGTTGCATATAACATTCAAAATTTTGAATGTATTTCAAAGAGCCCTTAATTGCGAGAAATTTAACAAAAACAGCTAAATTTAGCCACATGTATACCTTTCTAATTCAAAAAAAGTCATTCTTTTGGAGATGAATTAGCGACTAATTTTATATAATGACAAATTATCCATGGCTATTTTCCGTTACTAATCCGTTATATACATGTTTAAAAATATGAAATTGTTGCTGTAAAAGATCCTTTGCGAAAACCGATGGTCAAAATTTCGTCGATAAAATGAAATAAAAGAACAAAAAGACCAAGACATAGACATTATGGAGATAATCTTTTTTGGTATATATGCTAATACAAAATTACAAGTAAATGAGTGTGAAAATGGACTAATAACTTTTCCTTCAGTTGTCATGTATGTGAGAATTTTTGTTTGAAACAAAATGAATTGTTCTATTATTTCGTAAGATATGTAAGAATGGTTTTTAAACAATCTAAAAAACGTAAATGCCCTTATGATGTGAAATATATGTTCATTTCATGTTCTATTCAGCCGTACCAAACATTGTATTTTATTTTATTTGTTATCATTTTCTTCTTGGGACGTGATTTCATGGTCCTCTTTGTCTTGTGGAATCTCCTTCTCCTCCTTTGAATTTTCCTGGTGAATCAACGATTCCAATTTATCTTCCGCTTCTTCCACCTGCTCCATTTCCATTTTTAAATTTCAAAATTAAATAAATAAAGGTAAAAACAAGTGATCTTATTTCATATTTTAAATGAAAATTTTTCAAAAGACAAAGGGTTGTTGGACACATAGTTTTTTGGGACATTCTAACTTTTAACTTATAAAAAAAACTCGAAAAAAAACTCTGTTTATAAGTATGAGCTTCTAGCTTTTAGGTTGAACAAAAAACTTCAAATTAAAAAACTACTTCAATTAACCTTTAACAAAAAAAAAGTCTTTTATATTTTTGCAAATTCACTTAATTATCCATTTTTTTTAAATTATCTTTATATTTTATATTTTACAAATATGTCATTAATGTAATTTTATATGTTTTAAAAGCTTAGAATTATTTTTGCCGAACATTGATATAAAAATAAAATACACAACTTCAGCTACCAATTAATTTTGTCGAACAAATCCAAATTTTTAAAAGTGATTGTTTTGGTTTACAAAAAAAATCCGCATATGTGGAGGAATTTATTGCATGGATTGTTTTTAATTTGAAAAATGTTGCATCATAAGTCCTTATGATTAATACCATTAAAAACAACAAATATATCATCCTCCTATAAAAATTATCTAAACTCAAAAGGGTAATTTGATAATTTTAAAAAAATTAACCTTTTATTTTAAACATTGTTGATCATAATTTCTATTTTAAAAAACCATCTATATGTGCAACAAATTTCTCATAAAAACCATATAAATATATATTTTTTAAACCACGGTGATTATTTCTGAAATTTTGTGTTATAAAATTATAATCAAAGATGCCAACGCACCATTGGCACATGTCCTTGAAATATGCAAAATTAATTATTCATTAAATATTTAAACTTGTTTATTTGTCGGAAAAATGTAGAAGTTCCACACGTTATTAACCACCTTAAACAGAATCGTGCAAAAATTCTCCCGACGACGAAGACTATAAGATAGGGAATTAAAGTCGTAATTAAAAAAAATGAAATTAATTTTATGTTGGAAAGAAAAATATTGGAGGAATTAGTTATCATCGGAAAATAAGAAATAAATTATTAATAAAAAACGATGGAAATTAAGGGGGTAAATTAACCTTATTGATAATATCATCTGCTACATGAGCAGTCTTGGCGACTCCTTCAGCTATCTCGTCTGCAAATTCCAAAGCTTTTCTGAGTTTGTTACCTTCTGGAAGATTATCGGTGATGCCATCAATGAATTTATCGAGTTTTACAGCAACACTTTCTACAGTTTTTACAACATGTTCCGTTCTTTCTAGCTTCTGATCAACTTGATCTGCGTATGCATGGCTTTTTGTAATCCATAATTGTGTGTTAAATTCAAAATATTTATATATCATTTTGTTAATTTCTTACTTTTATATAGAAGCCAGGAACCCCATTTATGGGTGAAAAAGGGTAAGATGAATGTCAACACCAATCCCACAACCCAGTTTCTCCTGAAAATAAATTAATAGTGTGAAGGACAAAAAAGATTTCTCTAGAAACCCTATTGGTTGAAGAAATAGAAAGAAATGAAATATAATACATCACAAAAAAAAACTTTTAAACTTTTTTTAGTTAGAAAAAGGATTATAAAAATCGTACAAAGAACCAGAAGGGGATCCAGAAGGAAGAGGAGGTTCTGGTGGCGGATTAACGTTGCTTTGTCTTACAAACGTCGCCGTTTGCAGATTTATAGACATGCTCAAGTACTGCAAGCTTCTGCAACTTCTGCCATGCAAACTCCATGCAGATTTC